CGGGCGGGCGGGCGAGGACGTCGGCGGAAGGGTCGGTGTTGATAGTATGGCAAGCTTGAAAAACTGGGCGAATCGCGGCGACAAAGCCAAAGGACTACTTACAGAGACGCGCTTGTCGAGGCGATGCAACGACGGGGGGCAGGCGGCCCAAGCGATGGAGTCGGGACGAGGAGGAGGAGGGCAAGGGCGTCCAATCCGGGACGGGTGTCAGGAAGGGGTGTGGCTGTGCCGGGCCATGTGGCTCGCTGAGCTCGAATGCAAGGCAGCTCGGATCGACGTGGGTGCGCAGCCGACCCAGGTGTTGCAGTCCTGACGGGTGGAGATGTGTGGCCGAGGTGTGCACCAGGCGGGTGACGTTGTAATCCGTTCGTTTGCCTTGTGAGAGAGCCGTGGATGGCAGAAGACGTGTACGAGCTTGCCGTGCGTTGAATGGTGGCAGCGGTACAAGGTGGTGTCGTCGCGCGTAATGTGAAAGGGTGGATGGAAATGCAAATCCAAAAGGGCTCGATCCCACTCGTCGCTTTGCAGAGCGGCCGCCCACGAGGGCACGAGTCGAGTCAAGTCCATCATCCATGACGCGTGCGGCTATCAACGAGCAAAATGGATTCGTCCACCTTTTTCAAAGTCCTGGGTGGGCCACTCGCTCGCTCTCTCTCCACCTGACCGCAACCCCACTCTCTGCTTGCGGCTGCCACCCACCGCCGCTCCGAGATGCAGCTGCAGCTCAGCTCGCCTCCTCCGCTCCGAATTCCGAAGTGGCCATTCCTAATCTCCTGGTGCCGTCCAGAATACTGTATTGCGTCGACAACGCCGACGAACGCTAACACACAACATTGCAGACAGAGGCTCGGAGCGTCTGTCTCAGCTTTCTAGCGCTGCTCGTGTTGGCGAGTGACTTTAGGTCTGAACCGAAGGAGAGCGACATCCGACAAATCGTCTCGGGAAAGAAAGAAAAAAGACCACCAGAAAATGAACAAAAAATCGGAGAGCCAAAGGACGGTGGAACGCGGGCTTGCAGACTTTGGCTCGTCGTGCATTGCCTTGTGAGCACTGCCACACCTGTCCAATTGGCTCGCTTGTGCATCTGGCTTCCACAGGGTCTCGCCGCGGCTTCCTGCGGCTTGTCATCTCCACGGCCACGGAGCGGTGTCCAAGGAATGCCAAGCCCGACGCGTGCCGAGGCCCACTCCATCTTCGGTCGCGCAAACATGATCCGGGCCTGAGATGATCGTTTCGCCTCGTGCGGCGGTGCTCGACGTTACAGCGCTCCTGCTCTGACACAGCTCCACGGGTCTAACGCCTGAGCCAAAAAACATGCGATGTGCGCGAGCAAATGATAACATTTCGGAAAAAATGAATTGGACCCTGCGCGTTGACCACCTCCTTCCTTTGCTCCGGGCGCAAGAACCACTTTTTTTGGGGGGGGGGGGGGGAGG